GTCGGCACGACGAGCGCTACTTGTTTTAGTATGCGTCTTTCTACATTTTACAATCAGTGTGGTTGTGTTTACGGTAGAGAATAATGGTTTTCGTAGGTATGATTTTATTGCTGCGATCAATAACGATTCAAACGGTGTCCTCGCAGGTAAACACTTAGCTTTTGAGGGCTAAATACCTGATTGTTTTATGTATTAGTTAATTATAAGACAGTCGTTACATGTCTTTTGAAGCATTTGTCGAAAGAAATCTTCAGTGGCGACGAGAATTAGGTTATTAAATCAGAAAGACTTCGTTGAAAAAAGAAAAGCTGTATACTTGCTATCTTGAGGATGGGTAAGGGTGTGGGGGTGTGAATTTTACAATAATGTGCGTCAACTGCGGTGTCCATAATGCTTGCGTAAAACATTTCTGTGTGAATAACATATTCTGCGTATTATCTTTTCATGAACTTTCACCTAAGTTATATGGTATGAGAAACAATCCTGAATGGGTCACTTGTTGTACATGCATAGATCGTATGGTGACGACAAAAATCGATATTCAGTAGAGGCCCCAGTGGTGTTTATGCCGCGATGCTAGTGCTAATATGTAGTGCGTGGAGATTTTGTCGATAACCTCTTGATACAAATAAGATAGAATAGCGTAGTATCCATCAGTGGATAGGAGAAATGAAGATGCATGCGATCGAGTATTATGGACTCATTTACATGGTCTTCTGAAGATTCCATTGGTTCCCTTTCAAAACCAATTTATTCTGAAAAGTATTTGCAATGAAGTCTCAGTGGTCATGTATGTATTCAAATTGCCTCTATAAAACCAATAAAACTTGGGAATACTTACATATATGTTATCAGTGATTCAGAATTCATAGATGCCGTAGATACAGTTAGAAGTAATCTTTCTGTTGGTAGTTTAAATGACAAGAAATCTTTTTTAATATTGGAAACAATCATTGAAGAAATAGTAAATAACATCTAAAAAATATATAATACGTCATTCTATACAAGTTCCTCTCCGCTTTCTCATCTCAATAATCGAAGCTGTCCATCTCATTTCACTACAAAGTTATTGACAAAAAAAGATGCTAGAAAAACAATTATATAAGATCGAACAGCAGATCGTATTCAGATTCTATTATATCGATATCAATTGAAATAAGATCAAATAGCGAAGAAAATCCATGAGATGCCTAATTCGACTTATATTATAAGTCGACCCCCGACAAGCTAGTAACAATTCGAATATAAATATATATCTATATAACACATATAACAAATGACTAGATAGGAATAGAAATCGATTTAGTTTTACTTATACATACACACCCTCACCTACACCCACCGCAGCACCCTCAATCGAGAAAGATATAAGTGAGGGTGTGGGTGTGTATATGTATAAGTAAAACTAAATCTATTTGTATTCTGAAGGGTGCTAGGAATTGGTCACTTATATTATAAGTCGAATTAGGCAGCTACTCAGAAAATCATAGCCCTGTTTTCTCTGACAGACTGTATTAAGAAAAAGTCTTTTAAAGCCTGCTATAAATGATATTCAAGGACTATGATTACAACTTTTCAAGTATATCTGCAGATTCACAGATCTCGGACTCCCTAACTAAACATGAGCCGTTTTTATGTTTCACGGAATATTGAAACTTTTACGAAGTCGAAATATTCGATGATAAAACTTAGCCTTGTCGTATAGTCATTTATTGTTTGGATATGTTGAATTTTGTAAGCTGAAACTTCAGTAAGGCAACTATAAATTCATGGGAAAAACCATGAGCATTTATATTTTTTGAGTTTTTCATACTCAGCTAGGATTTATTTAATGTAAAAGGTCCGAAGTCAGATATGTTACCACTCATTTCGGATGATCTTCTCGTTAAGGATCTGTGCAAGTGTTACGCTTTCTCAAATAAACCTCATAAATATTGTATATCGACTGTAGATGAACGTATTCTATGAAAATCATAATGGGAGTGAGCAACACGTGCATCGTCTGTAAATGAGACTTTGCTAGAACCCAGAAGATTGATTTGTCATGGTATTTATAAGTCACGAACAAGCAGATTGTGAAATTAACTAATAGTAGTCGCAGAACAAAAACTGTTGATGAATCTCTTTTTCTCTACTTTATCACTGCTCTCCACTATTCACTATTCTATCGTCATCATATCAGATAAGTGATGTATAGTTCACTGAAGCTAAACTAGTTAGAGCTAGTAACGTTCTCTTCCGACTTGTTGCTTAGTAGTCCAAAAGGAGATGCTAATACGCGTTCGAAAAAACAGCATTCCATTCGTTCTCAATATCAATCTAATCAAACGGTGAATTTTTAAAACTAATTAGCGGTCTTCTCGATTTACTTTGATGCAAAAGATAGACAAAACCAAGTCAAAATATTTTTCGTAAAGGCATGGTAGTACTTCTTAACAGAAGCATACTAGCGTGCCTCTGATTTCGCAGTTAGAGATTGACTTCAAGAGACAAGGGAAGACTACACGACCTCCCAGCTTCAATCTTGCATATCCAAAAACATTTCATACCATCTCAACGCCATTTCTAATTTCATTCCACTCGTGCGCGCGATTCCGTGCCTTAACCATTTTTGCCAAGTTTCACGCCTACAGCCAACTGTAAAGCGTAACTCGAGTTGTGTATGTATGATAAAGGCTGTACTTCAGCGAGAGAACCTTGTAGGTGACAGTTCCGCATCATACCCACGGTTATGAACACGAGGACTGGATGTTCACTAAAGATAAAACAAACCGCATTTTTATGACTTCTTATTTCAACTAGTAATGAATTAACCCGAAGGAGACTCAGAGTTCAAATAAGCTAATTTTACTGGTACGTTACCCGACCATTTAGTCTTCTCATTGAATGTAATCGAGCTTTCTCCTATGATGAGACGGGAAAAACGATAAAACTCTCACAAATGTAACAGACAACACTGATGTACGCTCATTTCTATATCTTTTTAAGCTGATAGAGAGATTCTTTTACCTAATAGTGTCTAACAACACCTTCATCACTGCATTTACTTATACAACTGGCAGTGGTCCAGCCTCAGTGGCAGTGGTCGATGTCAATAATGACAACAAACCCGATATAATTACCGCTAACAACGCTGCAAACACTGTCAGTGTTCTTTTGAATGACGGCACTGGGACGTTTTCTGCTCAAACTACTTATGCAACTGGCAGTGGTCCATATTCAGTGGCAGTGGTCGATGTCAATAATGACAACAAACCCGATATAGTTACCGCTAACAACGCTGCAAACACTGTCAGTGTTCTTTTTAATAGAGGCAATGGGACGTTTTCTGCTCCAATTACTTATGCAACTGGCACTAATCCACAATCAGTGGCAGTGGCCGATGTCAATAATGACAACAAACCCGATATAGTTACCGCAAACTACGGTGCAAACAATGTCAGTGTTCTTTTTAATAGAGGCAATGGGACGTTTTCTGCTCAAACTACTTATGCAACTGGCACTAGACCATACTCAGTGGCAGTGGTCGATGTCAATAATGACAACAAACCCGATATAGTTACCGCTAACTATGGTACAAGCACTGTAAGTGTTCTTCTTAATGTCGGCACTGGGACGTTTTCTGCTCAAACTACTTATGCAACTGGCAGTGGTCCATTCTCCGTGGCAGTGGCCGATGTCAATAATGACAACAAACCCGATATAGTTACCGCTAACTATGGTACAAGCACTGTAAGTGTTCTTCTTAATGCGGACAATGGGACGTTTTCTGCTCAAATTGCTTATGCAACTGGCACTGATCCAAAATCTGTGGCAGTGGTCGATGTTAATAATGACAACAAACCCGATATAATTACCGCTAACTACGGTGCAAACACTGTCAGTGTTCTTCTTAATGTCGGCACTGGGACGTTTTCTGCTCAAACTACTTATGCAACTGGCAGTTATCCAGTCTCAGTGGCAGTGGCCGATGTCAATAATGACAACAAACCCGATATAGTTACCAGTAACTTCGGTGCAAATTCTGTCGGCATCACCTTGCACTGCTAAGTGCAGACGAGTTATTCTTGAAAACGATAATTTTATGAACACACTCGGAACGATCAGACTATTCGCTGATAATTCGTACTTTATACTATGACAAAAAACTTCACTGATAAAAAAAATCCTTTTTTGCTTTTTCAAGAAATAAATGAGGGTGAAGGTGTGAGTTGACACTGCCATAATCGATTTCGAACTTGTTGGAGCTCATTTTCAAATGGGCCAACTCTAAAATCTTGATTCTTATCTTGAGGGTATGAATGATATTGAGATAGCTACGACTATAGTTTCGACCTTTCTCAAGGGTCGTCCATCAGATACCTTTAATAATCTTTGGATGTAAAGCTAAATTCAACGTCGAAAGGTTCAGAATAAGACCTCCAAAGAGTTAAGGGTGAGTGCAGGCTGCCATGACTAGTTTCGTCTTTGTTAGAGACTTATCAAATGGCATCTATTAATAAAAAACAATTTCTAGTGATGAAATTCAACAAAAATCAAATCTAATCCCTAAAAATCATCTCAAATGAACAACTACTCTGTTAAAAATCGAAGATTCACATCTTCAAAGCCAAACAGCTCCAAAAATGCAAATTCAAAACTGTTAATGGTAATTTAGACGTTAGCGGTGTGAGTGCGATGTAACTACCATGATCGATTTGGGATCTCTCTCAGTTCGTTTTCAAGTGATATCAACGTAAAAACGATCAAAAAAATTGTTTCAATGTGAAACAGATCAAAATAATGGCATTAAATGAAAATCAATTGAAATGATTAAAAAATTCCCTCAATGAGTAATCGCTTACTGTATAGATTTTTTTGAAGGGTAAGATGAGAAGAAAGGAGGGGGGCGCTTAAGAGCTGAAATCGCCCCCCCCCTCAAAACTATTCCTAATTCACGCAAACCCTTCCAACTCAACCCGCTGATTTCACAAATGAAGGAATTAAGCACTCCTCAAAGATCAATATCCATAGATATCGCTTAGTTTTTTAGCTGGTAAATACATGGTTTTCACCCTGCGTCGACCCTATCGTTAAGAGAAAATGATCTAGGTCCACTCTGGAAACTACATACAGCGATGTAACTCTGAGTGTTATTTTTTGTAGTTACTTTTGTATTTGGGTCGGTAAGATCATTGGCGATAACACCAACGCCATGCTCGAATTGGTAATCATCGAGTTGGATATTCTCTGCAACGTCATATTCGTAACTACTATCAGTCGAATTGATAGGACCATTTGGATGATCAACGAGTAATTCTCCCTCAGATTCAGAATCAGAATCAGAATCAGGACGAAAACGATTTTTGTCGTCGATGTAGGTATCGACAGCACTGTAAAAAAAAGGAGTTTTACCAAACCAAAAAAGGATCTTCCCGCCGATACACGGGACGATCCTTTTCTGGTTAAGGAAAATGAAAGATCCGAAAAGAACCTTACAGGAAAAACTGAGAACAAAGGTTCCGTATCATAGGTACCGTACGGAAACATCTGTAACTATATTAAAAAACGGTTTGTAAAAATCCATAGCTGTGAAACCCTCGTTGCATTAGTTGTTCTCTTGGGTTAGTCACAGACTCCTTTATAGTTCTCCTCTTACAGGCTCCGTATTCAGTCACTACAGAATATAGGGTGTGGGTGTTCGGAATGAGTGGTACGAAACGTAGTTCACCCCTTTCGAACGTCCACACACCTTCACCCATCCTTTCATCGTGACACGAACGTGAGAATAGGTTCTAGCCAGTCCAGTAGATCCATTGCGATCAACTCTAAACGAGAGAGACGATAGAATGTGGTTTATTAAATATTATCACTTACCTAGTTGAATGCCAGGCTATTGAGAATTTTCCGTCGATAGATTTGCATCGATATAGTGACGACTAGTGAGAAAAACTAGAAATAAATAGGAAATGAAAATTGCATGGATTTATAGGGTCTCACCGGACGGTCTATTGAAAACTGGACGTCGGCTGGTGTAAAGGGCTATGTCTTTCAACGAGTCTTCTCCTTTTCCTGACTGAACCAACGGCAGATATCAATGGTTTGGTAGAGGGTTCGCCGAACAGGAACAACAATTATGATATCCTTAATTGTTTTGCGGAACTTATACGTAACTACTGACCAGTACAAAAATATATTTGTATTTACGAGTAAATTATGGAAAACCTTGAGCCGCTATACGAAAGTAGGGATAGTTTGGTACAAATACTGCCAAGCCTCCATTCATTCGACGGAGTAGATAATGATTTCCCAAAGGTTATACTGAACTAATCAGAGGCATACAGAAGTCGTCATAGTTTAGTGTATATTTGTCAAACCTCTGACTAATATACAAAGCCAGCAATAGTTTGGCATGAATTCTGCCGAATCTTACGCGAGAAAAATAAACCGATGTTAGTTTCGTCTAAATTTCATCAAATCATGAATAAGTAGAAGGAATCACTGAGGATNGATATTCTCTCACCAACTGATGCTCAGCTCCACTAATATTCTCTGAATAATCTTTAGTTTTTCCATGTTTCTATGAAATTAGTTGCATTTCGCTATTTTTTAATAAGATATAGGTAAAATAGGAAAAGCAGTGGAAATACAGGACAAAATATAGGTTTTTGCAAAAACATAGGATTTAGAGGAAAAATAGGTCGAATCGCAGGCCAGAATCAATAGAGTCTTGAATTGATGCATTTAATGAAACTGCATTGGAATTTGGATCATTTCCTGAAGAAAATGATGACTTTGATTTAAAATTTTTTGTTTTTTTCAGATATTTGATATACTTTTCCTTGAGTACAGTAAATAAATCAGTCATACTAGTTTCAACTCCAGATTTGATGATAAAAATTATTGGGATCGTCTTCGTCAATAAAACAGATACGATCCTTCAATTTGGTGAGTTGTTTGTATTTGATCCGAAGTATGGAAAACACGTTCGGTACATTAATGAATGTTCGAATATTTCTTATCGATTGTATTTTCAACAAATTCATTTCGTCAACGCCCAAACAATCCTCGATGAATTTGTAAAACTGATCACGAGAATAACAAAGAATTTCAATTTCATCCGGTAATTTATGTAAATCAGTAATCGTCATAGTTTATTAATTGAAGAACGTAACAAATGTACCTAATATACAATATGTAAGTGCAAAATGAAAGTTTGTTTTTGTACTTAAATTTTTGTTTTTTATTAACTCGAAGTTAACGATACAACAAGTCAGCTCTCAATAGAGAACACATTAGGTAGTATTAAGATAGCGAAAAGCAACATCCCATTCTTTTTTAATTTCTATGAGCACAAACTGGAATAATGCACATAGTGTTTGGAAATTGCTTAGTTTCTTAAAATTAATGTATCAGAATAAAACCAAAAAATTTCAATATCATTCATGGCTTGTCAGATTTATTATGTGCTGATATTTCTTTTTATTGTTGTTCAATACCAAAGTTTTTTTCTGTGTAAGGTGACACTCAAGAAGAGGATTAACCTTTTGAATAAATTGCAGAATATGAACATGAACGAGAAAGTGGATAAAATATATTCTTCTTCGCTCGATGTATCATGGACAATTTTGTTCATAGGAACTGAAGGAAATAATCAAACAATAGTTTGATCCTATTGACTTATTAATGTAGTTATAAACATTCTTTTTACCATATAGAGCTTGCCGGAACTACTAGAATCTCTCAGGATCCCCTCTTGTAGTGCTCCTCTGCAATGATCTAAATAATATCTTTTGAAGAAAAAATTCTTTTTAATTCCTCTCATTTACATATGTCGTCACTTTGGTCTGTACGTGATTGTTTGATGGAATATGATCCTTTTACAAAATATCATTTAGCCAGAACAAATGATTCGGTACGTGATTATTTTTTTATATCACTTTTTCGCTTTACATGCGATCTACTGTTATTAATTATCTGACGGTACTTCCTGAAGCAGGGAGATAGTATTTCTTTTAATGTTACCGTTTTTTTTCGTAACTATTGTGTTACTATCGGTGAAAATAGACGGTCGAATTCTACTGTACAATACGGAAAACGACGAAATAGTAGAAAAATTTGATTGTGTTTACTATGTTTCTACTTTTGGAGAAGAAATTTTGTATTGTCGACGGCCGAGCACCGTTCAATCACTCGATCGACAAAGGGATGATTGTGACAATCAAGGGGAGAAGGTATTATTTCGTGATTTATTATACAGGGGAATCGATCCAAGCATTGTCCTTGAATGGAATTCAAGTATTGAAGTGGTCGATTTGTATGCAGAAGTTTTCTACAATCGATCATTGTTTAATAATGATGATAATAGATCAATCTGCATCTGTAGAAACGGAAAATTTGGTAAATATTGCGAATATCAGCTGACACATGATAAAAATTTGTTTTCTGAGACGATCGATGCTCAATTTGAAGGAAAGAGAGATACATGGAACGTTCAGCGATATGGAGCCATCCTTTGTTATCAAACATTGCCTTGTCCATCGAGTCCACTTTGTCTCGATTGGCGAGAAATTTGTGATGGAAAGCAAAGATGTCCAAACGGAATTGATGAAGAAAATTGTGATAAATTAGCATTCAATGAATGTGAAGATGATGCATTTCGATGTACAAATGGAATGTGCATTGCAGAAGTATTCTGGCTCGATGGTAGGTACATTGTAGATTCTATAATAAGATTTATTAATTGAATTCATAGGTCATTATGATTGTATGGATTGGAGATTGGTGCTGGTTGAAACCGGATGCCATCAATTGTGATGAACATTTATGTTTACATCCTCTTTATTAATGTGGTGATGGACAATGCATTCCATGGAATCCTCTAATGGCAATTGAACCATACCGGATTTTGACGAAGATTGTTTTAATATGCGCAATCTAAATTATATGTGCGAGTTGACCTATCCTCAACCTACCTGGACATTGATACATGGATTACGCTGGCCAGATATAGGCTATGACGATCCTCGATATCCTCCATGAAACATGATGAATACATCAAACTTAACTAATGATGAAATCTGTCAATATTTGTTTCGATGTGCTTTATCCGATGGTTTCGAATATGATTGTCCATGTAATAAACAAAATTGTACAGAAATGATGATAAATACATGTAAATATTCAGAATATTTAATCAGTTACCCACCAAAAGGATTAATCAATTCAAATATTATCATTCTGTATAAGTATGATCATTCTTTGGATAATCCAAGTTTTCGGTCGTTTCTCACTGGAAATATCAAATGTCGAGGATATGAATTTCAAACAGATGTTCTGTTAGAATTTTATATCCAGAAATATATGGATGATGGCCATTTCATCAATCATTTACTTTGTAAATTAGATAATTCTGACTTTGGATATCGAAACATTTCTTCACAATATCAATACGACAAGTTCTGTTGGAATAACTCATTAACATTCAATGGTCGCCCATATGCTGTTAATACTCGTGCATGTTCTTCATCAAAAGAATGTATATCACAATATCGAATCAATGATGGATCGAGGGATTGCTTTGATCTGGAAGATGAGAGTGACGTTCTAAATAAAAGTTATTGCACAGGAAATGTCGGACGACATCGTTTTCAATGTCATAACAATGAACGCAAATGCCTTCCAGTGACTAAGTTAGATATCGAAAAAACTTTTTGTTCGAATCGTTACGATAAAAGCTGGTATGGAAATGGTATTCCACTTCAAAATCAACTTAGATGTAAGCCAGAAGAAACTACTGACTGTCATCGCATTAAAGAGTACATTCAACAATCATCGAATAATAATTCAAATAATTACGATACATTTATTAGTTTTCAACAACAGAATTTAAAAGGCCGTATGTTTTTTCAATCACATTGTGATACTTTTTGGAATTCTGATACACATATTGATGAAATGCCTTCTTCATGTCAATATTGGGTATGTCGAGATTATCAATATCAATGTCGAACAGGACAATGCATTCGTGAGAATTGGGTTTGTGATGGTGAATGGGACTGTCCTGATGCATCTGATGAAGAAGTTTTTGTATTAATAGAAAAAACATCAAAACATAATAATCGTTTACCAAATTTTCAATCATTACTTGTGAAATGTCGAGAAAAATATCCTAAAAGTCCATTTTCAAATGTTTGGAATACATCTTTCGAATTCGGTTGTTATCTCTCTCAAGTGTCAAATCCATTGAATGTTAGTTTGTATCGTCCATGTATTAATCTCACTCAAATTGGTGATAGAATAGTGGATTGCTACAATGCCTATGATGAAAGAAATACATTTTCAATCAATTCTAATATGAGGAAAATGTGGGGCCTTCATTTTCGTTGTGCTGACAAGCATTTGTCTTATGAATCAGCTTGTACTCATTTATTTAATTGTACCAATATTCAATGCTCGTACAATCGAGATGAAACTGGATTATGTTCTGATAAGAATGACTTTGTTTGTCTTAAGGAAAATCAGTGCAAGAAAAATGGATGGTGTAATGGAACATTCGATTGTTTCTACGGAGAAGATGAATATTGGTGTTCATCTCATTCTCGTATCACAGATTCAACAGCATATCGATACGAAAAAGACAAATTCATCGACTCAATGACTCCTCAAGTAATCTATCCATATTTAGATGCATCAAAAGGCAGTAAATATCCTTCAGCTAAGTCTCCTGTCAATTCTGAACCCGAAATGTCTTCTGAGAAATATTCATATCAATGTAACCGCGGTATTGCTGTTCTTCAGATGAATGAAACTCGATGTTTATGTCCACCGGCTTATTTTGGTGATTTTTGTCAGTTTTTTAGTGATCGAATTAGTATTATTGCATCTGTTGATCAGAAAACTGAACTAACAACAATATTGAACCGAACGCTTAAAATTCGAGCCAACCTTCTATTCAATAAACAAATTGTTGATCATCATGAATTTCATATTGTTTCAAAATTAGAAAAAAGTCAAACGATTAAACATAGATTTTATCTTCTCTATTCATCAACAATGGAAATGCTTTCATATAGACGAAAACGTTATTTTAATCGAACTGATATAATCACTAATCATCCATATGAAATTGATTTTCATGTTTTCATACTTGAAAAGAACAAAATGGCAGAAGAAATCGGTTCTTGGTATTATCCAATTTATTTTGATTATTTACCTGCATTTCGTCTAGCAGTTGTATTAAAATTTCCATCTTCAATTCAAAATACAACACTTGTTCCGTACTGTCAACAAACGTGCAAAACAAATTCGAATTGTCTTCCAATTTTTAATCAGAACAATTCTTATTACTGTTCTTGTAAAAATGGTTATTTTGGATCAAACTTTCATACGTATGAATATCTTTGTAAGACGTTTTGTTCAGCTAATGCACTGTGTCGAGTTGATGAATCTGATTTCCGAACGAAGAAGAAGAAACCTTATTGTATTTGCCCATTGGGCCATTTTGGAGCGCGTTGTCATTTGAGATATAATGATTGTTATTCAAATATATGCTTAAATAATGGAACTTGTATTACGTATTATGATCCAAGTGGGGAAAACCTTTTACAATGTAAATGTTCAGAAGGATTTTTTGGACGACAATGTGAAAATGTGAAGCCGTCTGTTCACGTTCATTTGAATATGACACAGTCAATGTCTACTCGCGCGGTTGTTATTCAATGTTATGATTATCCTTTTCTCTCTCCCGTACTTGAAACTAAAGATCAACAGCTTTACAAAACTTTACCATCATCAGTTAGATTGTATCAATCGAAACAGTCCATATCTGCACTTGGCATTCTCAAAATTTATCAAGATCTATTACAAGCACAATATTTTCTTATTTATTGTCTAACATCTCAATTGACGATTAACATCACATCATCTCCACAATATTGTTCACATGCTTCTTCATTATTACCTAAAGGTTAAGTTTTTTCTGTAATGCGATACTTCCGTGCAAATTTGAGTTTCAAGAGCCAATCATATAGATGTGAGTCAGTAAACATTCAGGTTCGGATCTGGTTCTGAAGAAAAAATAACTTTTTAAACTGTCGATCGCAACTGTAGAAAAGATTTTTTCAGCTAAATACTAAGGATTTGGGGAGTTGGGAGCAGCGTATGTATGAGAAAATTAGGTATAAACCGTTACCCTTCATCCTCATCGATAATTTTATTCTTATAAAATGGCTTTTACTTTCAGAATTAGATCAGTCTATTGAAAACGTTTATAAATATCATCAAATTTGTCGACATGACATAAAACCTGTCTGCTTTTATGACGAAGACTATTTTTGTATTTGTCAACAAGATCATTATCGTGCTGAATGTTTTATTCGCGATATTGAACGGGATTCTTGTGAGAAATGTTTATCTGGAGGAAAATGTCTTCAAGGTGGTTTAAAAAATCCAAATGATTTCCTTTGTCTTTGTCCTAATTGTCATCAAGGACACCAATGTGAATTTAGTATGGAAGTATTTGGTGTCACTGTCGAATCACTTCTTATTGATTATTCGAAACAAGTCAAGATTACCTATACATCGATCGTGGTTTTTTCTCTTTCTGATTGGTTTNATTGGCGAGAAATTTGTGATGGAAAGCAAAGATGTCCAAACGGAATTGATGAAGAAAATTGTGATAAATTAGCATTCAATGAATGTGAAGACGATGAATTTCGATGTACAAATGGAATGTGCATTGCAGAAGTATTCTGGCTCGATGGTAGGTACATTGTAGATTCTATAATAAGATTTATTAATTGAATTCATAGGTCATTATGATTGTATGGATTGGAGCGATGAATATAATTCTGGTATTGGAGATTGGTGTTGGTTGGAACCGGATGCCATCGATTGTGATGAACATTTATGTTTACCTCCTCTTTATTCATGTGGTGATGGACAATGCATTTCATGGAATCCTCTAATGGCAATTGAACGAATACTAGATTTTGACGAAGACTGTTTTAATATGCGCAATCTAAATTATATGTGCGAGTTGATCTATCCTCAACCTACCTGGACATTGGTAGATGGATTATGCTGGCCAGATATAGGCTATGATGATCCTCGATATCCTCCATGGAACATGATGAATACATCAAACTTAACTAATGATGAAATCTGTCAATATTTGTTTCGATGTGCTTTATCAGATGGTTTCGAATATGATTGTCCATGTAATAAACAAAATTGTACAGAAATGATGATAAATACATGTAAATATTCAGAACATTTAATTAGTTACCCACCAAAAGGATTAATCAATTCAAATATTATTATCCTGTATAAGTATGATCATTCTTTGGATAATCCAAGTTTTCGGTCGTTTCTCACTGGAAATATTAAATGTCGAGGATATGAATTTCAAACAGATGTTCTGTTAGAATTTTATATCCAGAAATATGTGGATGATGACCATTTCATCAATCATTTTCTTTGTAAATTAGATAATTCTGAGTTTGGATATCGAAACATTTCTTCACAATATCAATACGACAAGTTCTGTTGGAATAACTCATTAACATTCAATCGTCGCCCATATGCTGTTAACACTCGTGTATGTTCTTCATCAAAAGAATGTATATCACAATATAGAATCAATGATGGATCGAGGGATTGTTTTGATCTGGAGGATGAGAGTGACGTTCTAAACAAAAGTTATTGCACAGGAAATGTCGGACGACATCGCTTTCAATGTCATAACAATGAACGCAAATGCCTTCCGGTGACTAAATTAGATACCAAAAAAACTTTTTTTTTGTTCGAATCGTTACGATAAAAGTTGGTATGGAAATGGTATTCCACTTCAAAATCAGCTTAGATGTAAGCCAGAAGAAACTACTGACTGTCATCACATTAAAAAGTACATTCAACAATCATCGAATAATAATTAAAATAATTACGATACATTTATTAGTTTTCAACAACAGAATTTAAAAGGTCGTATGTTTTTTCAATCACATTGTGATACTTTTTGGGATTCTGATACACATATTGATGAAATGTCCTCTTCATGTCAATATTGGGTATGCCGAGATTATCAGTATCAATGTCGAACAGGACAATGTATCCCTGAGAATTGGGTTTGTGATGGTGAATGGGATTGTCCTGATGCATCTGATGAAGAAGGTTTTGTATTAATAGAAAAAACATCAAAACATAATAATCGTTTACCCAATTTTCAATCATTACTTGAGAAATGTCGAGAAAAATATTCTAAAAGTCCATTTTCAAATGTTTGTAATACATCTTTCGAATTCGGTTGTTATCTCTCTCAAGTGCCAAATCCATTGAATGTTAGCTTGTATCGTCCATGTATTAATCTCACTCAAATTGGTGATAGAATAGTGGATTGCTATAATGCCTATGATGAAAGAAATACATTTTCAATCAATTCTAATATGAGGAGAATGTGGGGCCTTCATTTTCTTTGTGCTGACAAGCATTTGTCTTATGAATCAGCTTGTACTCATTTACTTAATTGTACCGATATTCAATGCTCATACAATCGAGATGAAACTGGATTATGCTCTGATAAGAATGACTTTGTTTGTCTTAAGGAAAATCAGTGCAAGAAAAATGGATGGTGTAATGGAACATTCGATTGTTTCTACGGAGAAGATGAATATTGGTGTTCATCTCATCCTCGTGTCACAGATTCAACAGCATATCGATACGAAAAAAATTAATTCATCGACTTAATGGTTCTTCAAGTAATCTATCCATATTTAGATGCATCAAAAGGCAGTCAATCTCCTTCAGCTAAGTCTCCTGTCAATTCTGAACCCGAAATGTCTTCTGAGAAATATTCATATCAATGTAACCGTGGTATTGCTGTTCTTCAGAAGAATGAAATTCGGTGTTTATGTCCACCGGCTTATTATGGTGATTTTTGTCAGTTTTTTAGTGATCGAATTAGTATTATTGCATCTGTTGATCAGAAAACTGAACTAACAACAATATTGAATCGAACGCTTAAAATTCGAGCCAATCTTCTATTCAATAAACAAATTGTTGATCATCATGAATTTCATATTGTTTCAAAATTAGAAAAAAGTCAAACGATTAAACATAAATTTTATCTTCTCTATTCATCAACGATAGAAATGCTTTCATATAAACGAAAACGTTATTTTAATCGAACTGATATAATCATTAATCATCCATATGAAATTTATTTTCATGTTTTCATACTTGAAAAGAACAATATGGCAGAAGAAATCGGTTCTTGGTATTATCCAATTTATTTTGATTATTTACCTGCATTTCGTCTAGCGGTTGTATTAAAATTTCCATCTTCAATTCAAAATACAACAGTTGTTCCGTACTGTCAACAGACGTGCAAAACAAATTCGAATTGTCTTCCAATTTTTAATCAGAACAATTCTTATTACTGTTCTTGTAAAAATGGTTATTTTGGATCAAACTGTCTTATGTATGAATCTCTTTGTAAGACGTTTTGTTCAGTTAATGCACTGTGTCGAGTTGATGAATCTGATTTCCGAGCGAAGAAGAAGAAATCTTATTGTATTTGCCCATTGGGCCATTTTGGAGCGCGTTGTCATTTAAGATATAATGATTGTTATTCAAATATATGCTTAAATAATGGAACTTGTATTACATATTATGATCCAAGTGGGGAAAACCTTTTACAGTGTAAATGTTCAGAAGGATTTTTTGGACGACAATGTGAACATGTGAAGCCGTCTGTTCACATTCATTTGAATATGACAGAGTCAATGTCTACTCGTGCAGTTGTTATTCAATGTTATGATTATCCTTTTCCCTCTCCCGTACTTGAAACTAAAGATCAACAAGTTTACAAAACTTTACCATCATCAGTTAGGTTATGTCAATCGAAACAGTCTATATCTGCACTTGGTATTCTCAAAATTTATCAAGATCTATCAGAAGCACAATATTTTCTTATTTATTGTCTAACATCTCAATTGAAGATTAATATCACATCATCTCCACAATATTGTTCACATGCTTCTTCATTATTACCTAAAGGTTAAGTTTTTTTTCCGTAATGCGATACTTCCGCGCAAATTTGAGTTTCAAGAGCCAATCATATAGATGTGAGTCAGTAAACGTTCAGGTTCGGATCTGGTTCTGAAGAAAAAATAACTTTTTAAACTGTCGATCGCAACTGTAGAAAAGATCTTTTTCAGCTAAATATTAAGGATTTGTGGAGTTGGAAGCAGCGTATGTATGAGAAAATTAGGTATAAACCGTTACCCTCATCCTCATCAATAATTGTATTCATATAAAATGATTTTTAATTTCAGAATTAGATCAGTCTATTGAAAACGTTTATAAATATCATCAAATTTGTCGACATGATATAAAACCTGTCTGCTTTTATGATGAAGACTATTTTTGTATTTGTCAACAAGATCATTATCGTGCTGAATGTTTTATTCGCGATATTGAACGGGATTCTTGTGAGAAATGTTTATCTGGAGGAAAATGTCTTCAAGGTGATTTAAGAAATCCAAATGATTTCATCTGTCTTTGTCCTAATTGCCATCAAGGACATCAATGTGAATTTAGTATGGAAGCATTTGGTGTCACTGTCGAATCATTTCTTATTGATTATTCGAAACAAGTCAAGATTACCTATACATCAATCGTGGTTTTTCTCTTTCTGATTGGATTGTTTAATAATTTTTGTTCATTTATCACATTTAAACGATCAACGCCGCGAAAGTTTACTGTTGGAAATTATTTATTGATTATCACTTTCCTCAATCAAATTGCTTTATTTTGTTTATTTTTCAAATTTATTGATATTACTGTTGGAAATATCAATCTTCGATCATGTCAAATCATTTCCTATTTTCTTTCGGTTACGACACGATCAACGTATTGGTTAACAACTTGGATTGCCATTGATCGTTTTCTGATGCTTATCTTTCCCACTTCGTCTTATTTTAAAAATTCTCGTATTTCTATCATATTCAGTGTTATTACATTGATCATTCTCTTTGTAATGCATATACATGAAATCATTTACAAGACAATTCTTACTCATTTTTCAACGAATTCATTCGTTTGCGTAACAAATTTCGAGACTAATCTTATTTCTACTTATAATCGAATATCAACTCTCATTCATTATCTTGTTCCGTTCTCTATTCAAACAATTTGCATCACTATCTTAATTGTTTTCGCTGCTCGTAGTCGAGCGAAAGTAGTGGGACGTCAAACGACTTTCACTGAACTGTTAAAGAAACAATTTGAAACACAAAAAGAACTTTATGTAACTCCAATGATCATTGTTCTCTCTGCTTTACCTCAAACTATTCTAACCTTTTACTTTGCATGTACACAATTAAATACTTGGCAACAACATTTATTGCTTAATTCTTATCTACTTTCATACGTTCCACAAGTGCTTGGCTTCATTCTTTATGTTCTCCCATCAACGAATTACAAGAAAGAATTTTTTCACACACTAATTGGAAAGAATTCAAAATGGATTTTCAGCAAAAAGAATTAAATCATTTGTTTCGATGGAAATGAAGAGAATATATTTGTATCGAAGAAATAAATATCCGATGTGCTTCAAACCGTACTGAAACCTTGAGTTAAAACCAAAGTTCTTCTTCGAAAACTATCCGGTACTATTCACATCGTCTAATTTTGCTTCGTTTTCGAGTGTGAATTTAATTGAAGATGGTGATGCTCAAGCCCATCATGAGCTGCCCATAGTACGTGTTCGAATATAAGTGACGATTCTGTAGCTTGTATATGCCTTCAAAACTTAATTCTAAAGACGAGAACCGAAGTATGTACAAGTAAAATCATGTCTTTCTTCAGAGCTAATTTTATGCTAAGAATTATTTTTGAAATCTTCATTTATATTTGAAGTCGCATTAGACTTCTACTCCTGTCGGCATCACTTGATATGAGGAAAGCGTGATATATCTTCTCGAAATGACCGTCAATAATATAGTGCCACTCGTATAGATTTATCTGATGATCATTTTTCATCAAGCAGTATAATATTCAGGTAGATTAGAGTCATTTTTGTGGATTAATATTCAACTGATCTGGTGCTAAAGGCAATAGGGATTTCTTTTCTAATGAGTACAAAGTGCAATATTTCAGAACGATTATCATGGTTAAATAGTGTGTTTTTCAGTCGTAGGCGCATCTTGTTGTAGTATCTACTCATTTAAATGAAGTTCTAAGGATGAAAAGAAACCCTCATCCCAATCTTGTAAGGATATCGTATAACCAATCGAATATAGGGTGAGGGCGTGAGCAATATCAACTAGGATCATATACACATTCATATCTTCATATTCTCTCTTCACGAATGATTTGACTATCATATTTCGTGTTTAGAAACTTTTTACAATGTCAATTTGTTTGTTTAGATCTTCTATAACCTTGAACGTCTGTGTCATCTAATAAGAACCAGAAGTACAGTTGAAATCGGACTTGAAAGTTAGTCTTATGCTATGTACTTCTAATACCCAGGACATCAAATCCAATTAACTTGGGCCGATAAAATCCGACAGTGGGTACCGATCGGATCCTAGTAACTTGAATCGATAAATTCCGATGGTGAAATAATCTTTTAGCAAATATGCAAAGCAGAATGACATACAATGAAATAAAGGTAAACGGTAACTATCTTAATTCATTTTCGATTGTATATATAGGTTACCGCAACACATAAGGAACACATTCTTTATCCAATCTTTAGATAACATAAACATTACTCTACTAATTCATTGGCGTTAGCTTGCACAGCAATGCTGACGTATCTGAATATTTACTTTATCCAATAAAAAGCATGCGCCTAGTAAATAAGCTACTATATGTCTCATTAGAAGTACACTGAACGAATTATGTACAATGAATGTGATATGAATATCGTTTTGTTACTCGTTATAGTAATTCATACATCTCCAACAACCTGCGATGATTAATATCCACGCCTGTAAAATTAGAGAAAAACTTTCTACTTGCTTCCTAACTCTCCTTTGAAAGAAAGTTTGATAGTTATTGTCATAAAACCGATACCTAAATATTCCAGCGACCAAGAACTATTATTTCAATAAGACTCCAACATGATACAAACCGGTAAGACCATTGATTTGAAAACTATTTACGAACAAAACTTTAATCATAGTATCTTTACTCACGCCAGCTGAACACCTGCTTCAGTACCTTTCAATCGACAAAATGAAGCCATTCAGATCTTCACCCCAGGTCAACAAATCCGACGCAATCTGAGGGTGAGGGTGTGTTTGAGGGGGTATACGTGATGGTGAAGGGTGTGAGTGTCATTCCGTTACGGAATTGCAGAAATCAGTGGAAGACGGGATTGCTAGGAATTCCGCTTTGAGATTTGGTTCAATCATCCAGAATAAGAAATGGCCACCTATGAGCAATGATGGAATTCCGGAACCACCAGGAATTCTGGAAAGATTAGGAATTTGTAAGAACTGCGTGACCGAATTCCGAAGCACCTATGATGGTGAAAGATGAAATTCCGGAATCGGTGGGAATGGGTTCCGGATGCGAAACTAATTGCTAAATGTTCAACATTGCGGAATAGGATGTATTCTCTGTTTTTGAAGGTAGAAACGAGCGCTTTGGATGGTATGAGACTTCTGATGTACATCATAGAATAGGAGTACCTCGCAAAGATAGATTGTTGTTTGTCACATCCGTTCTGTTGAAGTAATGAAAGTTTATTGTTTGACAACGATTAAGAAAGGTTGTTGAAAAAATGAGGCGCATACGCAGAAACTACGAAATGTGTTCCGTACACATATTTCAGACCAACGGATATTTCCAATACAATAATATTGAAAAATACATGTACTATCACATGCAGCCATGAATCACAGGAAAAAACAGTGAAATATATACGGAGGTCAGAAGAACGAACAATACATCTGTGTAGGTATGAGAGAACTGAACAGAAAACATAGTGGATAATTCCCTATGAAATGTTATATATAATATTCCTTAACATTTGTTTATAACTAAATTTGTTTCAACAGTTGCCGGGCTGGACGTAACATGGCAATATAAATTTACTTTCCCAGAAGAAACTGCATGGAAATCTTTAATGAGATCTTTTGCCACCGATATCATAAAGGTTTGTGAAAAGGATCAAAAAGATTCCGCAAGATTTACCCTATTTTATTGGATTTCGTCGAAACCGACGTCGGATTGGTTGACCTGGAAAATCAGCATAAATTATGAGCTTGGTATCATTTTTGCCTTGTAGACTACATATGTTATGTATTTTAATATGAAATGAGTGACAACACAACGCGAATGAAATTCACTAAAATATGTAGAAGGGGAATACTTTTTTAACATTGTTTCTGGATGACAAAAAGAACAGCTTTTTTTACGTAAGAAACGTATGCCGTTAAGAATTGATACACTTGTAACGACAAACTGGTTGAGTAGCTAACCGCTTCTCGCAGTATAGATGTTTATTGACTACTCTATATGACCAGAATGTCCCAATTTCATAATAAAACACGCGCTTATATAAAGAGGAAAGAGAGAGAGATGACCCGGAGATAGTATGACATAGAGGTGAGAGAATAAAGAACAGAAAGAGACGAACGACATTATTATCGCTACAACACTCCTGCGTTCTGCCGCTGTCTCTTACGACTATAGTCGTAGGAAAGAGAAATAAATGACTATAACCCCATCACGACTACGAAGGAAACGAAAGCGAACGTGTTTCGCTTCACGCATCGTCCGATCTATCACTACTTCACACACGTTTTTCAAATTTACTAGGACGTTTGTTATTTTTTTTGGAGGTCGGTTGTTCACTTAAAAATAACATCTACTGACGACGAGCGCGTTGTTTTGCAGCTTGATGTTTTGAGACAGAAATAAGAAACACGTTCTATGCCCGCAAAGGCGTTTCATACATCAACAACCGTCATTCATTTCAAACAACGCATTGTCTTCGAGTCGCTTTTTCTTTCAGAAAAGAAAGGAACCACTTCAAGGATTTCTTTCATTCTTTGTCAATGCAATTGTATGTTCGGTACAAAAAATGAAATCTTTCTTTTTATTATTCTAGAAATTGCTTTATAAATTGCAAATAAGAGGGTCAATCCAATGTCCCAAAAAGAGCCTGTACATGGAACGTGGTTACGTCGATCGGCAATCATACTGGTAATCGCACTCATGTTGTTATCTTTAGTTTTTATGTACACGAAGTTCAGTTATAACAATGCGAAGTATACTCTATTTGCGGAAAATGACTCGCAATGTGAATCGTATTGTTTGACAAAGGAGCAAACATTCGAAAAGAAATGCCATTGGTATTTTGTTAATTACACTCCTAGTGCATGGGAACGTATGTGGTATGATAATATAGAAGAATTGCAAAATAAAGTTTGCAGCACCCTCACGACAGGAAATAATGTGGATAAAACGGTGTTATTGATGAAACGATTGGTTGAATTACAAAAGATTGGAAAAAGCCAACAACATGATGAACAATACGTTAATGATGAAGTCTTCTCTCGAATGTTTTATCGACAACGATGCTTCAATTCGCGTACAAAGACGTATTCCGATGGAATAGAAGTTTTTCAACTCATTGAGCCACTAGTAGGTTTATTAAGAGATCCTTTGACGATATGTTCACGTCTCGATGCATCCCGAGTACCGCCATCGCTGTATAACGGCGCTGTTCTCCTATCAAAACGACATATTCTCCTCTCAATTTCGGCTCCATTTTACATCTCGTCACCATTATCACAACAGCAGGTCATGTCAACTAAAGATTTTATAATGACATACTCCAAATCTAACGTACATCCTTGGATGCACGGTCGATCAAAAATGAACGCATCACTTACAATAGGAAATCGAAGTAATGGAAAGCTGATATTATTCGATTTGGGAAGTAGCGAATTTGGAAAGAATGTCGACATTGATACGACTTCTACTCGATGGTTTTATGAATATTACAAACGTTTAGACTTAAACTTTGATCGAATCATAGCTTTCGAAGCCCGGGTATTAAATGCAACAGTTGCATGGGAACAACTACCTGAAGACGTTTTTCCAGTGTATACTCTTATCAATACTGGCTGCACAGTGACTGGAAAATTCAATCCTTGGTTTACTCTACAAAAGATTGCTAAGCCAGAAGATCATGTGATCGTGAAAGTGGATATCGACACATTCGATGTGGAAAGAACCTTAATAGATCAAATCGTCAACGATTCAGCTATTCATTCATTAATCGATGAATTGTTTTTCGAGCATCATGTCTTAGTCAACGAAATGCGAGCTTTTTGGCGACCTCCTCCAGACCCATTGAGTCAGTCGTACGTCTTGTTCACGAAACTACGACAACTAGGAATACGAATGCATGGCTGGCCATAATATTTTTATTTTTTTAAATACAAATCCATTTTTGCTTCGCTCATCCGTAGAAAAACTCTCATTCAGACCGTTCTAATAAAGGTGAAGAGCATAAGATTAAGCGGCAATGATTATGTCAAGTACGAGAGATATGATCGCACAGCATATGACTTAATCGCAAGTTAACTGTGAATGTCAACTCGTCGATTCTTCTGCCGCTTCAAAATTTGCTTTATACTGATCACGATACCTCCACGCGATGTTAGACACACAAATGGAAGAAGAAGAGGAATGAAATAATTCAGAAACGAGAGAACTTGTATTGACGCGTAGGTCCAGCTTAAATCCGAAGTATAATGAAATATGTAAACAATGCAAATTGGAAAATTGATCGATAAATATAGTGCAGATATTGAAATCAATTGGAAAAACATGCGACGATATTTTCCCCAATGAACTGATTGCTGTAGGCGACGCCTCGATCGACAGACTCGAATGATGAGTAAACTGCTAAATATAATAATAAATATCGTTGTTATCATGCCGTGTAATATTGTTTCCCAAAGACCAAAAACATAGTCGCTAAAATAACATGGCTCGTAACATAAATTCCCATCTAGTTGCCAACGAGTTTCACATGGCAAGAGAAATATAACGTAGATGTAAAATATCAGCATGTACAGTAACAAAACAATCGGTGCAAGGTAATGACAGCAAATCATCACCCGTTTTCGATTGTAGAAATGACTATGAAATATCAAAATGTGTCGTTCCAAAGTTGCCCATGCAGTTAGTACTTGAGATGTATATAAACCAAAAGCATCAATAAACCACCAGACTAAGCAAAACATCGGTGACTTGATTAATACGGTGTACTGATGATAACAGTAAATCGCCCATGGAATATCCGTACCAACAACAAGCAAAGAGGTGAATAACATGAACAACATGACGTAGTTATTTGGAGCGGAGCGAAGTGACTTTTTGACAAGAGTACAAACAATGACGAAAAGGTAACAAAGAAGAGAAGGTATGATGAATGCAATCAGTAGAATCATTCGAACGGTTCCGGGAATAACTGCATCGGGATAATAATCTTCATTGTCATAGAAATTGTCGGATAGATTTGAGTTGATGTCGGACATGATATGTGAAAATTATGCGTAAGATATTATAATGAAAAAACTGCGCACGCCATATACACTTACGGAAAGCATTCTGCAGAAAACTACCTTATAGTTCTATTTCCTTCTCTCGGCAGCTGATAGTATTTCTCAAGTTAAAAAAAAACGTTGTCAATATTAATTTTAAATTGAGAAAACTTCATGCTGTTTTTTAATTATGTTTTTTTTTACTTTATATATTAAAAGTAAATCGGAATTTCCTCTTTATAAATTGCCTGTCAGTAACGTCGATGAATAACACCTGCCTATGACATTTTTAACACAACCGACGCCACTCATTATAAAACAAAGCAAAGGATTGAAATCTGTACAATTATGAGTCCTTATAATCACGGTTTTCATGAGATAATCGATATAGGGCATTCTGCATCCATAATCGTATACGTTGTCTGACGTCAACAATTCCAACTTTTCCTATATATTTCTAGTCGGTGAAATTGATCTCCGACACACGAGTATCCCATGAACGACTTTGTAAAGATCTCGGTCGAGGACAATCGCGCAGACTTGAATGGCTGCAGCACAGAACGGCCACGTTATAATTGCAGTTAAGTAGAAGAGTTTCATCGCGGTAAACATAAACATCACGTTGGGCACACCACTGATTAGAAACACAACAATCATAATTAGAATATTTCGAAGTACTATGACTTCCATTTGCCGATTGTTGTTCGAACTCGTACGACTTCCTAGGCTATTTCGGCTCCTTTTCATTTTACAGTATATGAAAATATACATACCAAAAATTGAAAAGAGTGGAAAACCGTAATGAGCCGCTAATCCGAGAATAACATGTAATGTTGCAGAGAGCGGAACCCAACACAAAGAGTTCGGAATAAAATGAATATCATTCGTTATAAGCGATCCGAGAGACATCAATACCGCTGCCACCCAATTAATCAAGATCATTATCCAATGGGTCTTCTTCGTAATCAAAATTGGATACTTAGTCGCAAAAACAATGAAGAAGAAGCGAGAGAGTGTTTGTATCAAATACGAATAGGCTATAGCAACTATTGACATATAAGTAAAGAAAGCACGCCATCGACAACTCATGTCACTTGTTTGCCATGTTAATAAAACGAGATAAAGATAGTCAATGTCTTGTACCACGCTGTAAAAAATCAATGCGACTGAAGAATTACACATTAGAATGTGTCTGCATGTGTGAAGAGTCCTTTTCGATCGGTAAACAACGATGATTATGAATATTCCAAGAATAAGTGTAACCAAGGACAAAAACACCGCTACAGCACAAGATGGGTAAAGTTCTTTTGTGCTCATTTCCAAATTACTTGACTGATTCATTACTTAAACGGTTATTACCAGGATTATAATTACTAGATGAAGTTTCTAAATCTAAAACAAAACAGAAAATGCCTAGAGTTCCTCAACAAAATTTTTTTCTTTCACTGAACGATAGTCTGGTTTACGAAATATTTCGTAAGGTATACAAGCTCTAATTATATCAGTATCTTTCTGGATATAGCATTAATTTTCAAAAGGATATTTTGCCGCGATTGTGTAATGAATTCGACTGTAGCACATACTTCTTTAGCCATTGGGTTGAATTCATATTTTTTCACTGACTTCACAGTCAAAGTTCCATTCGCTCTGATAGTTTGTATCGACGAGGGGTTTTCCAACAGATTCGATATATAGAGCGTGATAATTACCTTCACTGGTGAAGTTTCTCTTATCAAACTACGATGGATTTACATGTGAAATAGGTATACAGGAGAACCTGTCATTTGTTCACTGCCTTTCGGCTGACGTCAACGAGCAAGATTAGTTTGGTCTTATCATTAACATTCAAATATTTAGGAACAGCTTTGGATATTTATACACATAGCCGACTCGTCAACAGAAAGCATGGGAAATACAAAGCGGTGTTTTATTTACTGATAGTTCAACAGATGACAACAAGAAAAATATTGTTGGAAATTCTACTGAGATTTATTTTAATTGAAAGAACAATATTCAACGCAATTGTTCGGCTAACATACAATTCCCTTCTTCGTTTCTGTACGATGATATCAAATAGAAAAATATAACGAGTAAATATTTTTAACTGCTATCTTATCCGATAAAGCCAGTAATATATTGATTCGTCATGCCATTCTTTATAAAACCGTGTGTCTTCACTCTCACCAGTACAACGTAGAATAATAAATATTTTACTTTTCGCTGTCATTAAAATCATTCGAAAATGAAGCATAGTATTATATTGATTCTGATCTTTATTTTATCGTTATTTTCGATTCATGCCGATCAAGCTCATCTTCACACTTGTCGCTGTGAGTGTTTAAACTGGTCGGAGTATAGCACACCATCGGAACCAATGGCTATTTGTAGCACGTGCAATGCAGCGGCGTGCCGGAAAATGGGCGGAAGCTGTGTTCATGGAGCTATCATTAAAATTAGTTGCGAATAATCAAATTTGTTGACAACACAAATTCGATTTGTATTTCTAAATCATATTTTTGATAACTTTTAAACATCTGATTTAGTTTTTTGATTAACTCACTCGTATCACCCGCGTGTTTTGTTATATTTATTAAATTTTAAACCTGTCAACACATGGTTCAACATGTTGAAAAAAGATATCATGAAAAACATGCGATAGTTTTAAAAGATTTTCTGTTAGTTTCGTCTGAATTTGAATAATTTTTTCGTTTGTTGCACCAAACTTCGAAATTCTGTTTTGTAAATTTCCGCAGGTAAGACAAAAATCGGAAATGTCATCATTAATGGGCAAAATGAAATCAGATAAGCTGTTAAAAAGACATATTTTTGCCATTGATCAGTTATACAAACCAATGTAAAAGAAAAGATCAAACGCATGAGACTAAATATAATCAGCAATATCGGACTTCCATACAAAGGAAGTTGTCGCTTTAAACATGCCCAATATCCCTTGTCATGTTGACTTCTAGCTACAACTTGTTTCATCTTTGTTGTGCGATGCAAAAGAAATAATGTCACAATAAAATTGACCATACCTGGAATAATGAGGTTGATAAGATTCACTGTTAATCGATAATACTCGATCCAACGCGAAGGGAATATAATCACACACCATGTATGACGATTTACTAATCGAGGATCATCGATTATTTGTCGAATAAAAGGCTCATACGACGAACTGATCAAAATAATGATCGTAAGAATTAAAACAATTCGTTTCGCCCACCAAACACTCTTAGATTTATTGAACGAAACACCTTTGATAACATTAATACATCTTTCTATTGCCACACAGGTGATAAGCCAATCAAAAAGCATTGGACAGATGTTTATAAAGTATTCGAGTATGACACAACTCCACTGAGCAATTGATCGATTATTAACATACGATATTTGCGTTTTTAAAAGATAGGAAAAGCGACCAATTAAAAATAATAATCCCAACTGACCAATGATAGGTAAATACAACAAATATATGCTGCACCCAGTCTTCTGTATTTGTTTTTGCTTGAAAACAATAAAAGATACACCATTTGATAGAATTCCAATGATAAACATTAAAATAAGAATCGATAACACAATTTGAATTACCAATGGTTGGCTGGTTAACAACTGATTCGCAAGAATATCTTGACCAATGATCATATCGAATGAAAATATATATTGCGATGCTGTTAAATGACACAATGATCCGTAAATACATTCGTTACACACACAGCTAAAATCCCAAATGCCGTTAAATTCATTTTGCGCACATTGCCCATTGTTCTGACAATAATTTGTTTTACATTCAGTTGTCTCACGTTGAAATACAAGACAATCCGGATCGCGATATTTATCACAGAAACATAGGTGAACTTCATCCACAAAACAAATCATGTGATGATTTCGCTGACAGAGATGTCCGTAGTACTTGACGCGCTTAGCCAATGGCATATTACGTATTGTTTTATTGAACAGGATATCATTGATATGCGGACAATGATTGGAATTGTCGATACTTGTTGTCACATTTGTCATTGTCTGTTTAAGAATACCTGCTATGTAGAAACCACGATGATTTGGTTTGAAAATGATTTCGAGAAGGATGAATGATGATAAATATCGATGATTTGTATTATAAACACGAAGTAAATTGTTTAATTGTATTTGCTTATATAAAAGTCGATTTGCAATCGATAAAAAGCCAAATGAATTATTATTTAATTCGAGAAAATAGACAATTATTGTCGGTTTCGATGAATATTTATTTAAGCGAAAAGTTTTGGAAAAATAAATATCCACTTGTCCGTCAGTTAACTCACACGAAGATCCATGATAACCATCACGACATGAACAAATATACTTTTCTGGTAATCGTTCGTCCATTGGTAAACATCTACCACCGTTCTCACATTTTATATTATGACAGGAATTGAGTAATCCATAACATTCATCGCCTATTCTTCCAAGAGGACATGCACATGCGAATTTATGTACACAACTTCCTCCGTTTGCACATGAACAATCGGAACTGATATTACAAGATTTGCCGAACCAATTTGGCTGACATTGACAGTATTCTCTATAAGGTAAATTGAGATATTTTCGACAATAACCATGGTTGCAAGAGAGTGTATTACAACTTTCTTGTTCTGTTAAGAATAAGTCTAAAACCAATCGATTAACCGGAAGGAAACTAAACGGCACATCAAATAACCATGACGATATATAATCAACAGTAAATCTTGTAATAGAATAAGCATGAAGACGAACAGTCCAATGGCCACGCTGTTTTGGTGGTGGACGTGGATAAATCAAATAAAACATTTGCTTCATCATTGGCACATGAATGATATCTTCACAATCAGCTATTGTATCGTTAAATGCTAAACAAGCAACTAATCGAATAGCATTTTCTTTGTTTTCATGTCCATTCAGATTAGCTGGTCGAGTGGTTCTTAACGTAATTAATAACCGTTCAGATTGATATTGACAGCGTGAACCGTAATAGCTAGGTGGGCAAAGACATCCGAGATCAGATGATCGTTTTTTTATGATAATACCACGGTTACAAAACCATTTGCTAAGTAAACTTAATTGGTTATGTTTGTGTTGTTGAGGTTCAAAGGAATGAAAATCAACCGTAATAGTTTTGTCCGTGGTTTGAGAGAATGTTCGTGTTGAAATTTGATGCGGATACTCTTCAAGTCGGTCGAACGAAAAGCGTAATGTTCTCTCATGTTTGAAAGTACAAAACCATTCATCTTCGCCATCTGGTTGACAATCGATAATATTATCACAAATTTTATTTCGTAAAATGTTCAGTTTATTTTTGCATACAAATTGGTTTCGAGTCGCATTCGTGGCATTCGATATCCATGGACAGATTAATTCATCGTCGCCTTCCGGACAATGATTGAGTTTATCACAAAGCCTGTGTGGTACTATAGACTGACTGTTAGAACATAGAAAATTTGAAAGAACACTCGGAAAGTTTATTGTTGCTTCATCAGTCCCTCCTAAACAATCAATAATGCCATTTCCTGCACGATCTTTTGATAAACAACTAATTGTGCTATTTCGATGTGCGCAATAATGTTGATTTGCGTTACATTTGAAAACTTGGTGTGTTATATAAGAGAAGATCGTATTTGAACAATTTAATTCATCTTCGCCATTCTTTGTATCCCAAAAACTATCACAACGATATGAACGCCATTCTTCACAACTTGTCTCATCTGTTTCATTGGCAATTGAATGATCCAATATTTGACGGTAATTGCAATTTTCTCGGAAAGTATACCGTATCGATGGGGTGTATAACCCGCGCAGATAGCGACATATTATATCGGAAGCCATTTTACATCTGCCAAGACTCGATTGAACAGATTCCTTATGGCAAAGGTGATCAACAGCCAATACACTTGGTAGCCAATCACTCGTTTGTGGACATTGAAAGCGGTCGGTTAAATTCAAATTGTTGATTATTGTCCAATCGATATTCTCGTATTCATCATCTTTATGAACACAATCAACATGTTCATCTCCCACTCGATGCTTCGAAATATATTTCATCGATTGATTGCAGTAAAATAGATAGGGAATAGTTGCGTGATTTAATACCGATTCTGGTAATGCTCGACATGACGAAAACGTTAACCGTATTTGTTCCGATCCGTCATTCAAACCGTCAGAGAATTTTGTTTTAACGCATAAAAGACCATTGATTAAGGATGAATTAGGAAAAGAGAGTCTAGGACATTGACTTTGATTATAGCAAATATGCGTTGGTATCCACCAGTTCTTATTGTGATTCGTCATATTTGAATAGAAATATCGAATGAAGGGATAAACAGAATTCACTTCTGATTGAAACCAAAACGAACTGGGACAAATCTTTCGAAAAGAATCAAAAAATGTATATTTATCTGCTGAATCATCTGAAGATAAACAATCATGATAATTATAACCCATTAGATTTGTATTGACTTCACCCGTCATACATAACATTAAAAACCAACATTGAAAACTAGTGTTAGACGGTATTGCTAAGATATTATAACGAAGAAATAAATCGTGACCATTATTACAACGCTGACTGATCTTTTGGCATTGTCCATCTCCACATGAAATCTCATGTGAATTACACGAACGAAAATCACATGAAAGCTCTGCTGTAAATGAACACAACGAATTGTCAAGCCGTAGGTGATATGTTTCATGCTCATCACTCAAATCAGAACAATCAGAGCTGAAATCCAGAAGGAAATTCCGCGGAATGCACATTCCATTACGGCAACGATATTCATCCGTTGCACATTGATTCAATTCAAGTAGAAAACATTCATTGGGTTCGTCTTCACCATGTTCACAATTGTAAATTCCATCACAGATTTCTCTCCAATCAAGACAAATTGTCGAATGGCAACGAAGTCCTTTGTAACATGTTAACAGAAATTCATCATTGACGACATCATATTGCTTTGCTAATGACTCTTTTTCTTTAAATTGATGTTCGATTATATTCTCAAACGAAAATCTTGTATCAAATGAATACTGACATCGAACGCCAAACCAATTCTCTAAAGCAAAAGTTTCTCCTTTTTTGTCTAATCGATGAAATTTACAATCTTCACAGTACCTGAACAATTACAATAAGAATGATTACCAAACGAGAAATCAACACCTGTTAAATACTTTTCATACTCATCAATCGTTTCAATTGATGCACTCCATCGATACAAATCGTAACTATCGACATTTGTTAGTTTCAATTTTTCAAATGTGTAATATCGATCACCATGACAATAGTTATCATTATCATTATTATTCCCGGAATTTGCCATATCATCTCGAATACAATATGATATTAATTGCCATTCGTTCGTGATATTGTTACTTGTAAAGGAATATAAACAATCTTTATTATCAGGCGAATTGGTGTGGTATAAATGGAATAATCCATGGATCTTCACAGACATCTCAAGCATTAGAATGTAGAAAATCATTCTTGCTAAGTTTTATATCAAATGAATCTATGGAAAACGTGCCTTTTTACAAGAACATGGAATATTTCTTGTATATATAAATTTTTTCTACTGAAATTTTCTATGGCATGCTTCTTCTGTGGAAGGTTCTACAATATATCATACATCTGATTGTTTCTCTTGTTTCTTCAAAGGTAAATACGTCGCGTATTATTCCAAATACCGTTTTCTTCTCTTTTCAATCGTTCATGGTGGATTTTGTTCGAACTGAACAAATATTCACAAAGAAAAAATAAAATATTTCTGATATTTATCTTCAAGAGAAAGAGACGATCACGTTCATGTTGTAAATTGGTGTTAATAAAACATGATCCGATGTTATTTCAAATTAACAACGACCACGTCCTGCAACGCGGCAGCAGAAAGGGTCCCACTCAGCAAATGCAGGTACATGTCGGCAACAATTACAGCAACAAGCGGGAAAATTGCAAATATTTTGTGCATTTTTGTCAAAATTTCAATAGCGCTATCTGATCGACATGTTTCGATTATTTATAGTCTCTCGATTAAGACAATAGCTATGTTAGAGTGAATATTTTTCATGAATCAAGAGAAACAGATGGCTTATTTTCTCACAAAACAAAGAACCTAACCCACATACTCTATGTTTGACTGTCTTTCGAACTCGGTAATGCTCTAAATCGGTTGGAAGATATATTGTTTATTATGAGTTATATTATTCAAGATAGTCATTGCATGTGGGAATTCCACAGCAAAAAGCTTCGCCATTTAAAGAGTACTAACATATTATTGCAAAGTAGATTATAAATTCCCGTAACATTTGTGTTCAGATTAGGCCGAGGATATCTATCAATGCAATAATTTGATGTATTTGGATACAAAGTTATGAATGGTCCGGTATATATTCCTTTGTCTTCATCCCAAATCCATTGATCGAATTGTTGATATTTTTCTGGAATAGTTTTCCAATCACGAATATATGTTGACAAATCAAAATGTAGAACAGCTTGGTTTTTACGACATTGCGGCGGTTTCCACTGGTGAAGAAACGAAATAGGTTTTGTTACAAACTTTAACTCATTTAAACCTTTCGATAAAATCATTTCTTGATTTTGTTCGAAATTTGACCCTTCGTGAAAAGCCGCATAAACAAACGAAAGATTTCGATGCCATTTTATCGCTTGGCCATAATCTAATTTAGAATCAAATAGTACCGATGATTCGATCTTTGTTTGAATTTCTTCTAATGATTGACAGGTGGAAATATATCGAAGAAAACAATCAAGCTCAACATACACTAAAACATAATTTCCATTACATGCAAATGTTAAAATGATGGTTGACTGGTAGATTTTTTCAGTTAGTGTATCATCAAACGAAACTTCAATTTCAATAGTTGGATTTTCAATTTTTAATTGATTGATAAATTCATAAGAATATAGTAACGCATCGTCAGAATCAACATGAATATGAAGGTTAGTAATCGGTCCTAAGATGTCATACAGGCATTCTTGAGCGAATACTTTTGCAAATGTGTTCGCCGTGATCGGATTTTTCCATGGATATCCAAGATGTTGTTCGATACATTGTTGAACCATAGATGGTGACATCGTGCTCAAATCATCCTTACTTAATCGTGAACTGAGATCAACACAATCAATATAATCTATACTGGTAGATCTGTTGTCAAGTATAAATGAATAAAAATCTTGCGTTAAGCCAAATAGATATGGTATTGAACGATCTTGGCCACTAGTAACAGCTTTGGATGGTTTTCCATTCAATAGTTGTGCGATCATACCATCATCAAGCCAACGAGTTTTCGATAGTTTTGGTAATGAATAGGATAATTCTAATCTTCTACCGATAATCGAGCTCAATAGAGCTAATTGATTACGTGCATCAGCCCACTTTGGATTATAAATATAAGTAGCAAGAGATTTTTTGTCGTATTTCAATAGATTGAATTTGTACACAGCATGTTCGATATCAATTGTGGTATGATGACGATCTACTAAACCATTTGAGACAAGTGAATCAACAGACGGTGTTGCATGATAGGTATTATAAGCCATAAACAAAGTACATGGCCTGATTTCACATTTATCAATTGTGTCGACAAAACGAATTTTTCCTAATCCAAGAATCTCTGCGTATGGATCGTAAATTTGTAAATGATCGATTGTACGGTCAAATTCGAATTTCCATATATCTATACTGGTACGAACAGATGAGAAGTTTTGCAGTTCTCGCTGTAAAAATGTAATCAGTTGAATCCTGATGGTTTCTTTAATACAATGAAAGACGGGTACTAGACATAATTTCCTTTCATCATCATTTATGCGGCAAACCAATAAATCAAGATCTTCATAGAGAATATCGACTGAGTAGATGATAGCGTCTGGAAAAGCACATTGAGTCAGATGTAAATGCTCAGTTTTAAATCCACCGCCAAAATCGACAATAACTTTACAGAAATCGAATGTTGACTGATCGATTCGATCTAATAATTTACTTGTATCACATTTCGAAGGTTTCTCGTCCAGTGTTGAATTAAACAATTTACGATAGGTTAGTATCGCTTCGTCTAATGTATAATCAATCATCACAACGGCTCGTGGATACTTACAATACATAAATAGCTCTGGAGCTCTTTTCGGATGTACTTCGTCCAGTTTCTTCTCTAATTCTTGACTTATTTTGATTCGGTCGATTACTGCTGCAATAGATGAATTTTGTGAATCAACAGATGAAACTATAACATCGATCGTTTGATAACCTGATCCCATTGTGAAAATCTAAAGTCGATTATAGTATGCAGTAGAAAAGGTCCACACTTTGGATAAGAACGGAGAAAAAAAAATGATACCGATTGAAATTTCACGATAATCGATAATTTTTTGCTCATTTAGTTTTTGACTAAACAGTATGTCAATCTAATCAGATGTCATAGAAATTCAGATTACTCTACGATGTCTCAATATGCAAAACAGCGCGAAATGTAGTTCTGAAGAACATGTGATAAGAAGCTGTTGTGGATGTTAACTTTTATCAGTCTTTGCTTGGTTTTCACAAGCTGAAACATGATTTGACGTCACCATTTTTTCCCTTTTATCACTGCTGAAACTTCAATAACTGAGAAAAAACCCTTTTGTGTGAGATACGATCGGAATTATTCGCGATGTTCTTTTTTAAACACAAAAAGAAAACTGACTAGGTTTCACTAAATGAATGTGATTGTAAAGCGTGTGCACGAGCCAGCGCATGCGCTGATTAAATCATTGAAAATCTCCTGATCTTTTCCGGATGATCATTAAGCGACCAAATCTTAATTATAACCATACGTCAATTGTTATCGATTGGTACAAACAGCACTGTTTTACTTCCTGAAAGTCTTATTTACTTGCTTTCAATATCGAGAAGTCGCACTAGATTGAAGCAAATGTTCATGATTACCCTGAATGAAAGTGATAGAATGATTGTTATTTTCGTACGTATCAGTTCTGTTCTGAGTTAAAAACAAATGTCTGTATTCACACTACCATTTTCAATTATTTTTCTTGATTTTATTATTTAAAATAGTACGCCATCGTCTGCATAACTTCTTATTAGATTAGCTCATGATGATGCTCTTGAACAGCACCTCATTAGTGCTCTTCTTTTGACACCATCCACAACACTCGGTTTATAGTTTCGAGTATTTCATGAACATAAATAATTAAATTGACTCAATTACACCACTATCTAAAGAACAAACTGAAATTGTCGGCACGTATATTTCTTCGAACTCAACTTCGGCGTATAGGTATCATCCATCGAGAAAACCTGAACTGATGTGTTCTCAAATTAAAAGACCGTGCACCTTGAAGCATGTATGACTATAGAGACGAGCACAATGGTAACGCCTGCAGTCATCTCAGATTTTAACTGTGCTAATGGAGTATAGAGATTATAATTAAAAGAAAGTAATTCTCTTAGGATGTTCTATATTTGGACAATTTTTTTTTAAACGTGAAGCCATGTATGAAATTATAAAATGCGATATAGTCGAAAATCTATGAAAAGGAACACTGAAATGGTTGAAAGTTGCGTTTTCACGACATTTTATAATCCGATATTAATGCATTATAATTACCTCCTTAGGAGATATTATATATGAAATAAAAAACGACCTCTCTGTTCTATAACTCGTTCATTCAGTATGTTAAACGTCAATGAAAGTTCATCTTATTCACCAACGATCTTCTCTCCAACAGTTCAAGCTTATCTCTACTTGATTCCAAACATCATCGCCATATTCACATCTATCTTTGTTCTCTATCATCTTCTTTTCGAGCGAACACTTCGACAAGCACTCAACAATCACATCATCATCATTATTCTCTTCACCAATTTCATCTCTGATTTCACCAGCACACCATGGCTCATCTATTACAACTTTACCGGAATCTCTCTCGTACCAAATCCCATCTTTTCTCTTGTTTGGGTCTATATCGATTATGCGAGTTATGCACTTCAAACAATGCTCTTCGCATGGGCAACAATCGAACGGCATATTCTTGTTTTTCACGATCAATGGCTGCGAACAACAACTCAACGCATTTTCATTCATTATCTACCAACAACGACCATTTTCTTGTATGTAACATTGTATTATCTTCTCTTATGTTTTGTCCCCTTCTGCAGCAATGTTTATGATTATTCACAAGTGTATGGTCTAGCTGATGGTCATTGTGAACTGGAGAATGTTTTCTTTCAACGTTGGTGTTTGATTTTTGACCAAACTATTCCGACGATGATTATCATTATCTCTCATATCGGTCTGTTAGAGCGGATTTTCTCAGCAAAACGACGCGCACATCAAGCAATCAACTGGCGAAAACAACGTCGAATGATCATTCAACTATTATCATTATCCGTACTCTTTTTCGTACTAAATGTTCCTTATCTATTTGTAAAACTTGCTTATACATTTGAAACGTTCATTAATCTTGGAGATGAGTTACTTTTTTATACTGAATATTTCGTTTATTACATTGCATTCCTTCTACCACTGGTCTGTTGTTTGCAGTTACCAGATTTACAGGTAAAACTAAGAGCCTTATTTTGTCTGCAGACGCGAACCATAATGGNAATTTCATCTCTGATTTCACCAGCACACCATGGCTCATCTATTACAACTTTACCGGAACCTCTCTCGTACCAAATCCCATCTTTTCTCTTGTTTGGGTCTATATCGATTATGCGAGTTATGCACTTCAAACAATGCTCTTCGCATGGGCAACAATCGAACGGCATATTCTTGTTTTTCACGATCAATGGCTGCGAACAACAACTCAACGCATCTTCATACATTATCTGCCAACAACGATCATTTTCTTGTATGTAACATTGTATTATCTTCTGTTATGTTTTGTCCGCTTCTGCAGCAATATTTATGATTATTCCCAAGTGTATGGTCTAGTTGATGGTCATTGTGAACTGGAGAATGTTTTCTTTCAACGGTGGTGTTTGATTTTTGACCAAACGATTCCGACGATGATTATCATTATCTCTAATATCGGTCTGTTAGAACGTATTTTCTCAGCAAAACGACGCGCACATCAAGCAATCAATTGGCGAAAACAACGTCGAATGATCATTCAACTATTATCATTATCCGTACTCTTTTTCGTATTGAATGTTCCCTATCTATTCGTAAAGCTTGCTTATACATTTGAAACGTTCAGTAATCTTGGAGTTGAGTTTAGTTTTTACACTGAATATTTCGTTTATTACATTGCATTCCTTCTACCACTGGTATGTTGTATGCAGTTACCAGATTTACAGGTAAAACTAAGAGCCTTATTTTGTCTGCAGACGCGAACCATAATGGTTCATCCAATGATTCAAACAAGTCCGCGTAGGAGAATTTAACATTCACCATTTTCTTCGTGTTGTGGTATTTTATAATGATATAAATATACTCTAGTTAAGCTGTAATCCATCTTCTCAGCACATAAATACCTTTAATAAATAAAACACGTCTTCAATTTTGTGCGTACCGAATATGCTAACAGAATCAATTCATAGTAGTTTTATTCGTAGTTTATTACATCAGAAATTTATTTTCAAACACAACACAACTAATCTATTGGAGAAAATCATGCTTTTCAACTTCTAATTGATTTTATCAAACAAATATTCTATAAACAGCGCATTATGATCTGATAAATTCGTTGTTATTGTATCATACTTCCCGACTTTTCCAGTAAGACGCGATGGATATGTGACATACACCCAATCCGGAGTGCCACCGTATATGCTGGTCGCTCCGATCGTTGCTTCATTATAAGCAGGACTGTACTTTGTCTGATCTTGCAAATAAACCGATCCAGCGGTGTAATAATGCTCAAATAACAATCGATCCGAAGAGTTCAAATTTTTGTAGAATTCATAAATATCTAACTGCTTCTTAGCCACTGATTTTGACTGTTCGTTGTTGAAATCACCTGATATTTCAAAGCGAAAGAACTAACTTGTTCGGACTTCAATTTCGTTTACTCACCTAGAATAATATCCGGATGATATTGTTGAACTAATCGTTTCAACTGTAAATATTTCAGTTCCTTAAAATTCCAAAATTGCTTATCATCAAATCTTCCCCCACACAAATGCACGTTCGCAATGACTGTACCATACAAACGAAGAACAGCTGCACATCGCACAGTTTCTGTTAATATCGTCAGATTCACCGCCGAAAGCTTTTCAACGTATTTCATATGTTTCCGGAGTACATATATCGTGTTTGCTAAATAGTGCCCATGAAATTTTTCAGCTTGACATTCAGCTGCAAAAGTGTAATCCGAAGTCAAATCCAACGGCGTTAATTTACTGCTACTCCATCCATTGGCATCGATATTTTCTTGTAAACAAACGACATCTGGATGATGAGCGAGAATAAACTTCGCAATTGGATTTGTCGATCGACTAGTCCGATAGAATTGAATATTGAATGTCATTATTATCAATGGAATTGTTTCGATTTTGACATGAGACGATAATTGACTCACAGATGCGATCCGCTGAGTATGATTCACTAAAAATCAAAATATACGCCCCAAGATGGATATTTGTTTAATCAATCGTCACACTGACTACTAATATTTTTCTGTTTTAATTTTGGTAATGAGCATAGGATAGCTATGAGCGAAACAACAACCATGATAATCACACAGACTAATATGTAAAAGTGTTTTGATTTTAATAGTTCAGAAACACGACTGGGATGCATCTCTTTGTTCTCCATTTTTAACAAAGTCAAAACAAAATCTTGAAACTGAATCGAATATTTGAATTTTCTGAACAATGCGCATTTTTTTTCTTTTGCATATATATACTGATCAAACACTTTTCGCGAGAGAAGAACAATGATTAATGCTCGATTGGGGAAGCGTATGTGGAATTACCCATACGTTGTATTTTTTCATTGTGTCTATTCTTTCCCTGTGCTGATTTTCAGCGATGAGTTTTTCATTAAAAGCACATTCCGTTTCGATTGGTACGCATTTTATCTTTCCGATGAAGAAATTTTGAAAAAAGTACGCTTAACGAAGCTTCTAGGACATACATATATTTCGATCTACTATCTATTTCATCGGTTCGATTCGATAGACAGCCATCATGCACTTTTATCATTATTTCTCTGTTCTTTCGTTTTACACATGAAGTGGGTATACGTACGTAACGATGGGGAAAAAGAATACCGATGGGAGAAATTATTTTGAAGAATAAATATCTACCATGGGAGAAAATGGCGATTTTTAAACAAACGCTGTTATGGTATAAATATAGATTTTATTATATGGTTTACTTTCTTGTTATTGATCGATACACGAATAATGATGACATCTTATGAATTACGTAGTGTACTTTTAAAAACTCAAGATTGTCTTAGTGACGACGATCGAAAGCGTTTACATTTCTTTTTCTGTCATGATGTACCACGACGACTGCAGGATGATTTGACAGTGAATGGTACGTTAAGTCTGCTTGAAACCTTGTTTACTCAAAACAAAATCAACGAACAAGATTTAACCTTACTCATCGCTGCATTCGAAAATATCAAATGTTTCGATGCTGTGAAGTTGCTCAAAGGTAGTTTTTTTGTTCGAATATTCGATATATTTCAATGCTTGTATTTTTAGACTATATGGCCAAGTTACAGGAACCACAGGCAACAGATACTTTAATGCCATTTCTAGCAGAGCATTCAGATAAACGTGTCAAGACAAATCGTCAGTAATCAATTGCATATCACAAAAAACTCTTTCTTTCTTTTTTCGTAGATTTGATCTCATTGAACAAATATGGAAATAATAACATTCAGATCAATCATACTACCACGAATATTAATCCATCAACTGTCAACGTTCAACAATATTTGAAGTCACGATTATCTAAACAAACCACGCAGTTTTTGCTAACGTTCAGTTTTCTATTGAACATCGGATTAGTCGTAGCTATGGTTTTGTGTGTGATTAAGATGTACCACGATCGAAAAGAATTAGTAAATGCTCAATACTGGGCAATTAAATCAGCTCATAACGTGCAGCAGAAAAGTATGATCAATTGGTTCACTCAAAATACTGAAAATTTGTTTGTGTAGTTTTAGATTCAGCTGACGAACGCAATTGCGCGGTTTGGGTAAACGCTCGCGACGGTGAAGTTCCAGTAGATGCGATTATCGGCGGGCAAGAAGGTGATCGTCATGTTTACATAGTTCGTATCCAAGTCGGCGAGAATAATGTTATTCCAGGGAAATTAGTTGACAAAAATAAACGAGCAGAAACTGAATACAATGGCGTTTGGTTGTCAGCAACTTATCAAGTTCTGACAAATCCAGTGCCGAAGCTAAGATATGAATGGATTCAGACAGATTCGCATAATCTCTCCTTATGCGTGGTACCCTCAGGTAAAGAAAAACAAACTAATTTTTACATTGCTCGAACAGTTCGCTCGCCAACGATGGTCTTACTGGGTAAATATGACGTGAGAAATAAGCGACTGTACTATTTGGACGACGGTGTGGTGAAATCCACGGATAAAGACATTGAAGTGCTTTGTATATTGTAAAGAGTTCTTTTTGGATTTAGTATATTTTTTGTATATTTGCTGAAATAAACAGAATCTCTAGGCGCTGGTTGGAGGAATCAAACCGAACGGTATTTTTAAACAAGATCGAATAGCAATGTCAATATTTTTACATCGATAAATATTAATAATCAAATGACATGCATATCCTTGACTTGCTAGGTAAAGACAAAAAATGAGTAATATAATGACACAACGCTGATAATGTGCGAGTGCATACGATATCGTATAAGATATTTTACAAGAATCAACCGAAAAGTTCTCATTTTTCGAAGTATGGATGTGCAAGTTAAAACACGGCAAGACAATCTTCCCATGAAAAATCGTTTACATACCATATTACTCTCTATTTTGGTTTCGATCGTGACAATAACATTCATTCTAGTAGCAGTGACGTTGAGTGTGGTTAGTTATCAAAAGAAGAAGGAGAATGAAAGCATCATGGCAACAACTTCAACATCAGTGGTGATAAAACATTTGGTGGATACGGTTAATTCCACTCAATTAATGTTTCATTTAGCACAATTACAAACAATCGCCGATCAGAATGGAGGCACACGTTCTCTCGGATCAGCAGGTTTTCAGGCAACTGTCGATTATATTGAAGCACAACTGAAATCGAAAACGGATTTTCGTGTTTTTAAAGAAGAATTCATGGTACCTACCAGTCTGAAACGTGAACCAATGCTCGTTTCTACTATTTCTGGTGTTGAGAAAAATTATAAATATGACATCGNTGGTACCCATGAAATTTTTCAGCTTGACATTCGGCTGCAAAAGTGTAATCCGAAGTCAAATCCAACGGCGTCAATTTACTGCTACTCCATCCGTTGGTATCGATATTTTCTTGTAAACAAACGACATCTGGATGATGAGCGAGAATAAACTTCGCAATTGGATTTGTCGATCGACTAGTCCGATAGAATTGAATATTGAATGTCATTATTATCAATGGAATCGTTTCGATTTTGACATGAGACGATTGAGTCATAGATGCGATCCGCTGAGTATGACTCACTAAAAATCAAAATATACGCCCCAAGATGGATATCTCTTTAATCAATCGTCACACTCACTACTAATATTTTTCTGTTTTAATTTTGGTAATGAACATAGGATAGCTATGAAGGAAACAACAATCATGATAATTACACAGACTAATATGTAAAAGTATTTTGATTTGAATAGTTCAGAAACACGACTGCCATGCATCTCTTCGTTCTCCATTTTTAACAAAGTCAAAACAAAATGTTGAAACTGAATCGAATATTGTATTTTCTGAACAATGCGCATTTTTTTTTCTGTTGCATATATATACTGATGAAACACTTTTTCGTAAGAGAAGAACAATCAGTAGTGCTCGATTGGGAAGCGTATGTGAAATTACCCATACATTGTGTTTTTTCATTGTGTCTATTCTTTCCCTGTGCTGACTTTTAGCGATGACTTTTTCGTTAAAAGCATACTCCGTTTCGATTGGTACACATTTTATCTTTCCGGTGAAGAAATTTTGAAAAAAATACGCTTAACGAAGCTTCTAGGACATACATATATTTCGATCTACTATCTATTTCATCGGTTCTATCGACGATGGTCGTGCACTTTTATCATTATTTCTCTGTTCTTTCGTTTTGCACATGAAGTGGGTATGTGTACGTAATGATGGGGAAAAGAAATACCGATGGGAGAAATTATTTTAAAGAATAAATATCTACCATGGGAGAAAATGGCGATTTTTAAACAAACGTTGTGATGATATAAATATAGATTTCGTTATATGGTTTATTTTCTTGTTATTTATCGATACACGAATAATGATGACATCTTATGAATTACGTAGTGTACTTCTAAAAACTCAAGATTGTCTTAGTGACGACGATCGAAAGCGTTTACATTTCTTTTTCTGTCATGATGTACCGCGACGATTGCAAGATGATTTGACAGTGAATGGTACGTTAAGTCTGCTTGAAACTTTGTTTACTCAAAACAAAATCAACGGACAAGATTTAACTTTACTCATCGCTGCATTCGAAAATATCAAATGTTTCGATGCTGTGAAGTTGCTCAAAGGTAGTTTGTTTTTTGTTCGAATATTCGATATATTTCAATGCTTGTATTTTTAGACTATATGGACAAACTACAGGAACCACAGGCAACAGATACTTTAATACCATTTCTAGCACAACATCCAGATAAACATGTCAAGACAAATCGTCAGTAATCAATTGCGTATCACAAAAAAAAACTATTTCTTTTTTTTTTCGTAGATTTGATTTCATTAAACAAATATGGAAATAATAACATTCAGATCAATCATACTACCACGAATATTAATCCATCAACTGTAAATGTTCAACAATATTTGAAGTCACGATTAGCTAAACAAACCACGCAGTTTTTGCTAACGTTCAGTTTTCTATTGAACATTGGATTAGTCGTAGCTATGGTTTTGTGTGTGATTAAGATGTACCACGATCGAAAGGAATTAGTAAAAGCTCAATACTGGGCAATTAAATCAGGTCATAACGTGCAGCAGAAAAGTATGTTCAATTGGTTCACTCCAAATACCGAAAATTTGTTTGTATAGTTTTGGATTCAGCTGACAAACGCAACTGTGCAGTTTGGGTAAACGCTCGCGATGGTGAAGTTCCAGCAGATGCGGTTATCGGCGGGCAAGAAGGTGATCGTCATGTTTACATAGTTCGTATCCAAGTCGACGACAAAAATGTTATTCCAGGGAAATTAGTTGACAAAAATAAACGAGCGGAAACTGAATACAATGGCGTTTGGTTGTCAGCAACTTATCAAGTTCTGACAAATCCAGTGCCGAAGCTAAGATATGAATGGATTCAGACAGATTCGCATAATTTCTCATTATGCGTGGTACCCGTAGGTAAAGAAGAACAAACTGACTTCTACATTGCTCGAACAGTTCGCTCGTCAACGATGGTCTTATTGGGTAAATATGATGTGAGAAATCGGCGACTGTATTATTTGGACGACGGTGTGGTGAAATCCACGGATAAAGACATTGAAGTACTCTGTGTATTATAAAGAGTTCTTTTTGAATTTAGTACATTTTTTGTATATTTGCTAAAATAAACAGAATCTCTGGGCGCTGGTTGGAGGAATCAAACCGAACGGTATTTTTTAAACGGGATCGAATAGCAAAGTCAATATTTTTACACCGATAAATATTAATAATCAAATGACATGCATATCCTTGACTTGCTAGGTAAAGACAAAAAATGAGTAATATAATGACACAACGCTGATAATGTGCGAGTGCATACGATATCGCATAAGATATTTTACAAGAATGACCTGAGAAGTTCTCATTTTTCGAAGTATGGATGTGCAAGTTAAAACAAGGCAAGACAATCTTCCCATGAAAAATCGTTTACATACCATATTACTCTCTGTTTTGGTTTCGATCGTGACAATAACATTCATTCTAGTAGCAGTGACGTTGAGTGTGGTTAGTCATCAAAAGAAGAAGGAGAATGAAAACATCATGGCAACAACTTCAACTTCTGCGGTGATAAAACATTTGGTGGATACGGTTAACTCCACTCAATTAATGTTTCATTTAGCAAAATTACAAACAATCGCTGATCAGAATGGAGGCACACGTTCTCTCGGATCAGCAGGTTTTCAGGCAACTGTCGATTATATTGAAACACAACTAAAATCGAAAACGGATTTTCGTGTTTTTAAAGAAGAATTCATGGTACCTACCAGTCTGAAACGTGAACCAATGCTCGTTTCTACTATTTCTGGTGTTGAGAAAAATTATAAATATGACATCGATTTTCGTCTTATCTTTCTCTCAGCACCGGCTCACTTTTCCA